ATTGAACCACGGCACGTTTTGGCGACTGGATTTGGCCCTCAGTCGCTCCGTGTCCTTCTCGATGTGCTCACGCATCTCATTAGAGCGAGTGACGTTGCGCAGACCGTCTTCATCCACGATCCCGATGGACATGAGGAAGCCAGGCAGAGAGGCAGCCACCTCTCCAGTGTCGAAAAAGGCATCGGTTGACGATTTGATCGCGTCGGTCTGGTCACGACGATCCTGTTCGACCGTGCCATTCATCCAAATCGTATTCCAGTTGCGAGGCCCCTTGGGTTCCGCATTCATCATGCGGGCTATCAGTTCGGGGGTGTATGCCTTGCTAGCGGGGGCAGCTGAGGCTTGAGGAGCAGGTGCGGGAGTGGCTGTTGTTTGTGGAGCTGGTGGTGATGGAGGAGGTGCGACGGCGCCAGGACGAGTGCCCAGCGCAGGTTCTAGTTCGGGCAGAGGCTCGTCGCCCAACGCGCCCTCTGCGTGAGATGATGATGGAGTAGCAGGGGACTTGGTCGATGCTGTAGCAGTCTTGAGAGAAGCGGGGGCAGCAGGGGCAGAGGAGGTCGAGGCAGTACCGCCAAAGCGGCGGGAGCGACGTGGAGGACGCAGTGCCAGTCGTAGCGTAGCATTGCACAGCGCCTTTGGATCGACGCCAGCGCCAACGTCCTGCCACCAGAGGAGCCATACAGGGTTGGTATGGATGGTGATATTTTCCTGCGTGCTGGCACCGGTCACGTCGAGCTGGGAGTGGGATCTCGTCAGAGCGGAATTCAAACGCGTAATCGAGGGCCGTCATTGAAACACTTGCCATGCAATCCATTTCATCAATATCGAGTCCATATTCATCAGCAATGGCAAAGCAGACTTCTTCAAAGTTGGCTTCCAAGGTTACTTCAATGATGGCGCCTTTGGCTTCGCCCTCGGCGGAGATACGAATCAACGGCATGTTTGTGACGCTGAGACAAACGACCGCGATTGAGGGGACACGACCAGCGCGACGAAACGTCAGCTAAAGGGAGCACAGCTGCCTCAGCAAGCGTCAGATGGGTCTTGGAAGGCGTTGGATGTCAGATATAGCCTCTGCTCGATCTCGAAGTGGGTAGGGGATGGCGGAGTAGGAAGAGAAAGGGTAGAGGGCGTGACCGATCGTGTCAGCCCGTGACATTGAGCCGGCGCCTAAACGGCTGTAGCTCTGGTTCTTGAGCAGCAAGAGCGGAAAGGATGAGCGCCACCAAGAAGCCAACGACGGGCTGAAGACGACTAGGAAATTTTCGCAAAAAAATAAAAACAGCGGATACGGCACAAAAATCACTGCTCCGGAGAGGGTCGAACTCTCAACCTCCTGATGATCTGTTGGATTAACAGTCAGACGCGCTAACCAATTGCGCCACAGAGCACGATTGGTTGCAGGGACGATAGCAATCCTCACATTCTCTGTTTTGCGGAAACGAAGTCCAGTAGGAAGAGGCTCCTCTGTTGCCCGCAAACAAGAAAGTGCGACTTAGTCGGCGCCCATCAAGCCAGAGGGAAGAGAGAACTAATGGATAGCAAGCCGAAATAAAGAGACAGCTAATGGATAGGACGAGGGAGTAGGGTACCCCTTAAAGCTTCCACTAGGATATTCAGCAATTTGGTCATTTTTACGCACCTTCTCGATTAGGGCGCAGAATGCAAGAAAATAGTCATTTTGGGTATTTTGAGGTTCAATGTCATGTGCTACGATGAATGATGCAGTCATTTTGTTCTTTTGGTCGAGATTCAGGCCCAGCCTAGATTTTCTCGTTCATCGCGTCTGATCACACAGAAGGAAAACGAACCGAGTGACGAACGTCCAAGTGCGAGACAGTGTGCCGTTTTCCAGGTTGTTGAAGAATATGAGGTAGGGTTAGGACCAAAATTGCCAACACTCCTGGGAGAGCGAGAAAGTGCGCCTTGGTGAAATGGGATTGATTGCAGTATTATCGCAAGATCCGTGGGTAAAACCAAGTGAGCTGGGGTCCATCGAAAAGCATAGCCTTGTATATATAGGAAGAGGGTTTCGCTCAATCAGCCAAGACGACGCAATTCAGGAGGGGTACAAAGAGCGACTCGCCGAACATCTCTATCGAAGCTCTCTCCGATGTCCAAAGGATTTTATTTTCTACTAATTTTCGTACTAAACACACCGAGAGAATGAACATTTGGCCTGGTCGCTGCTCGGGTAGCAGTGAGTATAGCTGGATTCGTAAACTCGTCGCGGGGAAGAACGGGCGCAGGCAAAGCTAGCAATTAGAAAGGGATCAACGGTGCATCGACAGGGCTGTGTCGCTGGAGCGATCGGCTCCGGCCCATTGCTGAAACATGTATGTTCTACCCGAAGGCTCCCCATCCTATCCACCATGTCCCCACGTCTCTAGGGCCTCCCTGGTCCAACGTTCCGCTCAGCCTCATGATTGTGGCTACTGGTCGATGCGTGTACGTGTACAGGCTCGAAAGCGATGGCCGTCAAAGTTGGTCGGCAGCGCCGGCGGGTGGAGCTGGGTTAGGTTCTCGGGCTAGCGTGTGAGAGAAGGGCGGTTTCTCGAATGGTCTGCAGATCGAGCGGCCGATTGTGACAGAGGTCAGTTGTTAGTATGGCAGATGTAAACGGAGGTGACACTCACCCGAATGATTTCCTGCACACTAGCATAAAGGACCTTGGCGGTATTGCATCTGTGTGAGTGCAATCTAGTGGATGTGCAGTGTCAATTAACAGAGAGTCGTCATCGTCACATGCGACAGAGAGAGGCATATCTGAATAGTCGGTGGGGGTTTGGGATAGCGGCTAGACGAGGGAACTGATGTTTGTCGTTGAGGAAAGGAGTTTTGCAAGTGCGCAATTCCTGGTTAGCAATTCTAGCTATGGAGAATTCGGCTCCGAGGGAGTGTTTGTTTGCGTCCAGCCAGTATGTTTGGTCCGAGTCCGCACCTAATCCTCGGTCAACACCCTCCCCGCGCGCCATCAACTACCGTCTCTCAACCTACGACACCCTCCCCGATTGTGTCCAGAGTGTCTATAGTATCTTTCCTGTCTGTTGGGAAAGAATCTAGACCTAGTCTCGCTGTTCGAGGCTGCCTCGTGGCGAGGCTGTGGTGTTTAGTATCTGTAGTGTCTTTTCTGCAGTATCTTGACTCTAGTATCTTTTCTGGCCGTCTGTAGTATCTTTCTGGCTGTCTGTAGTATCTTTCCTGCCGGTTGGGAGAGTAACTGTACCGAGTCTCGCTGTTCGAGGCTGCCTCGTGCCTCGGCGAGCCTCGAACGCGATCCTAGGTTGAAGTGAGTCACTTCGAGTCTCACGTGTTCAACCTCCGCTTCCGCTCGAGTTTGCGTGACTTGTCGTTCTTGATAGATGAATAAATAGCTGGAGCTATACTCTATATACACAGTTGATACAAGTAGGCTGACAGAGCATGAATTCATGTGGTGATAGCTGCTCCTTTCCCGACTCAAGGAGCTTCAGCACATTTGTGCGCTGGAGCACTCAGAAAGACACAACAACCATCTTCTAAAAGCACATCTCTGCGGATAGCTGGGGAGAAGATGAATTGCGAAGCATAGAGAAACTTGCTAGCCGTATTAGACGATCTCAGTAAACTCCCAAGGCTTCGCCCAGTTTGGTTCAGCACCTGGGCAAGCCACCACTGCACGTTCTCCAAATTCCTCAAGCAAAAGTTTCACATCATGAGGGAGGCTCCCTGCATCCTCTGTGTCAAAACCCAGCTTCAAATGCAAGCTGGGCCGCTGTGATAACAGCCTTCGGAGCGCTTCCGGCAGTGTGGGCCCCGCTTCCTCCGTCCCACCCTCAAGAGCAGCCCAATCCTTTGCAAGTGTACTATAACACAGCACGTGAAAGGAAGGTAGGAACCCCTCTAACGACTCAGGCGAGACCTGAGCGTTTCCAATCGTTTGGAATTCCGACCCTGTAGCGAGAATATCAAGCAGATCGCACTGTGTGTCGATCTGGGATCCGGAGTGGGTAGCGTTTATGAAGACCTCCTCGAGGGTATGATGCCTCTTCAGAAATGTGCATATGTTGGAGTCGAATCCTCCGGTTTGGATGAGTGACAAACGCTTGAGTTGTGGGAAGATGACTGGGTTCAGAGCAAAGGGTGGTGGAAGAATCGGTCCCAAGGATAGAGGAAGGTCAAGTTTGTGCAAACATAGTGCCTCGCAGTTTGAAGCGACCAGAAATGGGAAGCCGTCCCATAAAGCAAATGCCCGTAGCGAGAGGGATTTCAAGTGCGGAAGGCTGAGAGGGGAAAAGTCGGCTTCCCATATCGTGCCTTCCTGGGAGTACTCCCAATCAAAGTGCTCGATTTGGGTACAATCACCAAGTGCGTCTAGCACCAGATATCTTGGGTAGGTGTCTACAATTTTGAGGCGCTTGAGGCTTGAGAGCAGCGATAGGCCCTGAACCATGGGCTTGGCATTCCTTAAGTGCTCCAACTTGATTTCCACCGCTTCAACATGACTCTCACCAAGATCCCACAGTGAATAGAATTCCTCAACCTGCCCCACATCCCCAATCCGAGAATATTTCGATGTGACCGTCATGTCAATCATACTGAGAGCACGAAGATCAGGACAGCTCCATCTTAACCGTTTCATCGACTGGGTGACTTCAGAGAGTTGAGTTGCTCCATCTCTGCAACAGACTCGAATGCTGCGGCAGCGATGGATGTGGGGTTGGAGAGCGGATAGGATGCTGTGGGTAGGGGAGCTACTCACGAAGGTAACGTCTATGTAGAAGTAAAGATCGAACAAAAATATTTTTGAACGACGAAGGTTCGTCTCTAAGGTGGCGGGAGAGGTGGAGCTATGGATGCTGTCGGTGATAAAGACGACGACATTTGTCCAGCAACGAGGAGAAAAGAGACTGATGTTCCTCAGACGCCTGCAGAGAAGGTTGAGGGAGTAGAATGATTGAGATGTGTGGATTTGGGATGTAACGGAAGGAGGGATAGAGCGACGAATGGTGACAATTGGGTCATCAACACGTGAGGCGACGAGTTGTAGAATCAATGAAAGCACCTCGTCTGGCAGTTTCAAGAGAAGTGGTATCATCTGGGGTGAGGCCTCATTGAGTATTAGGCTATGGTGGGAGGATTGCTGAGAGGATGTGATGTCACCTGAAGATCTGTCGTGGTGCGGGGGAGGATTGTGCAAAGAGGTCATCTGGACTGGGTAAAGGGGAGGGTCGAGGCGGAGAGGCACAAGGCAGATGAGACGTCAGTTTTTATCGATGTAGCCGGAGTCATTTATGCCCTAGGTTCTTGTCGTTTCTTGTATGGCTCACGAATAATGAGCGTGAGTAGTGGTGGAATGACTCATGCTGTTGGTGTGTGATGTTTGGCTCCGCCACAGCACTCAGTAAATCAACTGGTTCACAATTCGGGATTCTATCGAGGCTCCTAAACAAGATTCAAAGACCCAGTTCAAGATTCTGTCGATACTGGAGCACCAAAGGTGACTTGCCTGCCACCACTTCGAGGCTCCGGTAAGGTTTCAAATAAGCCCTGGGGGACAGCCCGTTTGGTGTCGTCGGATTGAGCAGAGGTCCATACACGGAGTTTTCGTGAGCCATAAACGAAGAAAATGAGGCGACCTCCTAGCTCGTCCCAAATAGCCAGAGCGAGCACCACTAAGCAAGGCACGACGGCGTGTAGTTACGACGAACGCTAATTTTCTTTGACCAGACTCCTAGTAAAGGAGTGGTAATGACGAGTTTTTTAAGAAGGTAGTGACTGGAGGCAAATTTGAGAAGGTAATTAGAGAGCTCATGAGAATATGTCGGTAGTTGTTCGATTTGGGGAAGATTAGACCCTTTGAATAGGAATGTAACGGCATTCTTGGCTTCGACTATCCATAATTGATCGCAAAGCTAGGCACCCTGAATCCGAAAACACCCAGACGCAGCTCGCCTGCAAGGTTCGAGGGACTCTAGGCGAGAATCTTGACAGGGAACATTCAGCGACTTGAGATATGCGAAACACCATCTGCCCACAACAGTCGAACCGCAGCTCAGCTTCCTCGATATCGTTACCCTCATTCCAGCAAGGGATATATTCTATTCCGGGATTGTGGCGTATCAATTCGTTGATCGGACTAGAGGTCAATTTATTAAGACTGACCTTGGGATGTGCCAATCGTAACGTCGAGGGTGGGAAGTCAAAAGTCGTCACATGCATACCATTCCTCTGCCCATTCTGGCACTGCATCATAGTCTACAGTGACGAATCTTGACCCGAACTCCTTCTTTAGCAAATCAACCTCTTCCGGGAGCTGTGTTCGATGGAGCTGGTTGAACATGAGCTTGATCGAAAGATTCGTTCGGCGATGGAGTAGTCGCCGGAGGGACTCTGCCAATGCGCGGGCTGC